TCTGATTGTTTTCATGTATTGATTAATGCTGAGCTGTAAAATAAACCAGATAACAGAATGTCTGAATAAACGGTGTTAAAGATAATTGGACACTTCCTGTTCAGAGGGTTTCTAACTGAACTTCAGAATGAAAATAAAACATTTCAGATCTGTTCTTTGTTTTTTCTACAAGTTGAATCATCCAATATTGATTATTAAAATCTCCTTTTTCACTGAAACACATGAGCTGAATGTTCTGTGATCTGCATCCTAGTCAGATGCCCGAACCACCTCAGCTGACCCCTTTCGACGTGAAGGAGCAGCGGCTCTACTCCGAGCTCCCTCCGGATGTCAGACTCCTCCCCCTATCTCTAAGGCTGAGCCCAGACACCCTACAGAGGAAACTCATTTCAGACGCTTGTATCTGTGAACTCATTCTTTCAGTCACTACCCAGAGCTCATGACCATAGGTGAGGGTTGGGACGCAGATGGACCAGGAAATTGAAAGCTTTGCTTTCCAGCTCAGCTCCCTCTTCACCACCACGGACCAGCGCAGCGCCTGCATCACTGCAGAAGCCGCACCGACTCGCCGATCCATCTCACGCTCCATTGTACCCTCACTGTGAACAAGACCCTGAGATACTTGAGCTCCCTCGCTTGAGGCAGTAACTCTCCCCCAACCCGGAGAGGGCAAACCACCGGTTTCTGACAGAGAACCATGACCTCAAACTTGGAGGCACTGACTCTCATCCCAACTGCTTCACACTCGGCTGCAAAACGCCGCAGTGCATGCTGGAGGTCACGGTGAGATGGAGCCAACAGAACCACATCATCTGCAAAAAGCAGAGATGCAATTCTGAGGTCTCCAAACTGGACCCCTTCCTCCCCCCGGCTGCGCCTTGAAATCCTGTCCATGAAGATCACAAACAGAATTGGTGACAAGGGACAACCTTGGCCGAGGCCAACACCCACCGAGGACGTGTTCAACTTTACACCAAGTATGCGGACACAGCTCTCACTCTGGTCATACAGGGACCGGATGGCTCATAGCAGTGAGCCTGGCACCACATACTCCCGTAGTACTCCCCACAAGACCCCCTGAGGGACGCGGTCATAAGCCTTCTCCAGGTCCGCAAAGCACATGTAGACTGGATGGGCAAACTCCCACGACCCCTCCAGCAGCCTCGCAAGGGTAAAGAGCTGGTCCATTGTTCCACGGCCAGGACGGAATCCGCATTGCTCCTCCTGAATCTGAGGTTTGACAATCGGTCGGAGCCTCCTTTACAGCACCCTGGAGTAAACTTTACCCGGGAGGCTGAGCAGTGTGAAGATGGGGACCACCACTCCTGTCTGCCACTCTGCAGGCACCGTACTCGACCTCCATGTGACACTGAAAAGGCGTGTCAGCCAAGACAGCCCAACAGTGTCCAGAGCCTTCAGCATGTCAGGGTGAATCAAGTTCAAGTTCAAGTTCAAGTTAAACTTTATTGTCCCTAAGTGGGCAATTTGTGCTGCAGCATGGTACTGACATAAAAAGAAAGACAAAGAAACAGACACCAGAACAAGCACAACAGCACTACATCAATGACAGGCAGAAAAACAAACCACACAAGGAAACAACAACGGCAACAACAACAACAACAACAACAACAACAGTTCTGCCATCTTCATAGTTAAAAATTGACAGCTTAGTCAGATCTTACAAACAAACGACATTATCCACAGTGTAATACAAAAACAGCAATAAATAAGTAAATAAATATAAATATGTGCATGTATGAGGCTATAAGTCCTTTTCCCTGCATTAAGGAGGGTGATGGCTGAGGGAATGTATGAGTGTTTGTATCTGTTAGACTTAACTGAGGGGGTGTCGGTGGCTTAGTGATAGAGCAGGCGCCCCATGTACAAGGCTGCTGCCGCAGGGGCCCAGGTTCGACTCCAGCCTGTGGCCATTTCCTGCATGTCACTCCCCCTCTCTCTCCCCCCTTCACATTTGTCTGTCCTGTCGATTAAAGGCTAAAATGCCCAAAAAAATATCTTTAAAAAAAAAAGACTTAACTGAGGGGAATCTGAAACGGGTACCAGAGGGGAGGGACTGAAACTCCTGATGAAGAGGGTGAGAATGGTCTGAGAGAATGGACTTTGCCCTCTTCACCACCTGACTATTATACAACACAGACAGGTTACTCTGCTGGACACCGATGATTTTGGTAATGGTAACAATTTTTGACAGAGCATTCTTGTTTTTAGTGTTCAAACAGATACCGAGATAAAAGAAAATGTCAAAACTGATTCAATGTAAGATTTGTAAAAAAGGGTCATCAGGGTTTGGTCAACGTGAAATTTGACAAGTTTCCTGAAACAAAAAAGTCGTTGTTGGCCTTTTTTGCAAATCATTTCCGTGTTATCCTCAAAGGTGAGCTTATTATCAGTGATGGACCCAAGATATTTGTTCTTGACAACAGATTCCACCTCTTGGCCATCAGTAACAGTGCACTGAGTTGCAGGAGCATGGCGTCTAAAGTCATTGCACATGTCCTTTGTGTTAGATACATTAAGATTAAGAAAAGAGTTTTTACACCAGTTTAAGAAGTAGTCAATCACAGGGCCATGGCTAGATTCATTATCATGCAGGAGACTAACAATAACTGTGTCATCTGCGAACTTCAAGATGTGTCTGTTTAAAAACTGGCTCCTACAGTCATCAGTGTACAAGATGTAAAGGAGTGGTGAGAGGACACACCCTTGAGGTGAGCCAGTGGATGAAGACATCACTCCTGACATACACCCATTCACCCTCTGAGATCTATTAGAGAGGAAGTCCAGAATCCAGCCAGCCAGACTGGAGTCAACACCAAAGTTGTTAAGAAGCCTTTTCACCAACAGGTGTGGCTGGATGGTGTTGAAAGCTGACTAGAAGTCCACAAATAAGAGCTTAGCGTGCGCTTTGCTACCCTTCAAGTGTTTAAATAAAAGATCTAGCAATGTGATGGAAGCATCCTGAACGCCCCGCCCCATCCTATATGCAAACTGAAGGGGGTCAAGGAGATGTTGTGTATTAACCAGAAGTTCATGTTTAATCAGTTTCTCAAATGACTTCATGACCAGGGAAGTAAGAGCAGCTGACCTATAGTCATTTGGAACCTTAGGATGGTTGTTTTTAGCGACAGGGACTATAATGGACTGTTTCCATATTTGTGGAATCCTCTGCTGACAAAGTGATAACATAAAAATCTGATGAAAAATGGGAGCCAGCTGTTCTGCACAACTGGAAAGCAAACGTCTCCCAATGTTATCAGGGCCAGGGCTAGTCTTACGTTTGCAATGCTTGAAGATGTTAACTACAGAGCGTTCATCAAATGCAGTGACAGGAGAAGAGTTGGAGAGATTGGCCTTTAAAAATTCAGATTCCTTAGAAAAATCATTAACATCAAACCTAAGATAAAACTGATTCAGCTCATCAGCCAGTGACTTAAACCACTTTTTTCCTGCATTTACTATCCTGCAGACCAGTCATAGTTTCCATTACATCCCATGCTGAACCAAGGCTATTGCTGCTAAGTTTGTCCTCCACTTTTTCTTTATATGTCTGTTTGGCTCTCCTAACCTCAAATTTCACTTCTTTTTGCAGTCTCTTAAATTCAAAGAGTTTACCCTGTTTAAAGGCTTGTCTCTTTTTGTTCAACAAAATCCTCAAGAACTTACTAACCCAGGGCCTGCTGTTAGGGTAAATTTTTACAATTTTATCAGGAAGCACAATATCTTCACAAAATGACGCCCATGAACTGACAACATCTGCTAATTCATCAATGTCTCTGCAGAGTCCACAAACATATTCCAGTCAGTGCTGTCCATGCATCCCTGCAGAGTCAGTGAGGAATCCTCTGTCCAGATCTTAACCCGCTTAGTGATCACTTTTCCCCTCTGCAGAGCAGTGCAGTACACCGGGATAAGGTGCACGCAGTTGTGGTCAGCTGTGGTCAGTGGGGGTAGCGGTATGGATTTGTCCGTGCCTTTAACTGACACAAAGCACAAGTCCAGAGTCTTATTATATTTCATCGGGCATTTGACATATTGATAAAAGTTCCTTAGAGAGTTCGACATGGTGCAGTTATTAAAATCCCCAAGTATAATGTTGGGAGCATCGGGGGACAGAGACTGAAGTCTGTGCATAATCTGGGCGGCCGCTCCATTGAAGGAGGAACTCCTTGCTGTACTGGATCCAAGGAGTTGGAGGTAAATCACGCTAGCTCTCTGCCAGCAGAAATGCCAACCACAGTAAGAATATGACTTTTAACTCCATAATTCCGACGTTACAGGAGACGACAGTAAGTGCAGATCTCACGAACAACTTTGTCGATCTACCAGATCATCTCTTGAAGTGCTGGGTGACGAGATAGGTGAAATAAAGAGATAAACAAACAAACAAACAACAGAGAAGCAACAAGCTGCTGGTCGCTGCACGAGCATGCGCCCTGGATGTGTATTGATCTCATCTACACCCGGCGCCTTGCCACTGGGAAGCTTTTTAACTACCTCGGCAACTTCTGCCAGGGATATGGGCAAGAGTTCCCCCGAGTCTCCAGGCTCTGCTTCATTCATAGTGGACGTGATGGCCGAGTTCAGGAGGTTCTCAAAGTGCTCCTTCCACCGCCCAACGATGTCCCCAGTTCAGGTCAGCAGTTCTCCCTCTCTGCTGAGCACAGCCTGAGACAAGCCCTGCTTTCCCTTCCTGAGTTGGTTAACGGTCTGCCAGAACTTCCTTGAGGCCAACCGAAAGTCCTTCTCCATAGCCTCCCCGAACTCCTCCCACACCCAGGTTTTTGCTTCAGCGACAGCCACAGCTGCAGCCCTTCTGGCCAGCCGGTACCTGTCTGCTGCTTCAGGAGACCCCTGGGCCAGCCAGACCCGAAAGGCCTCCTTCTTCAGCCTGACGGCCTCCCTCACTACTGGTGTTCTTCGGTTGCCGCCCCGACAGGCACCGACAACCTTCTGACCACAGCTCCTAGCAGCCGCCTCCACAATGGAGGCTTTGAACATGGCCCACTTAGACTCCATGTCCCCACCCTCCCCAGGGATGCACAAGAAATTCTCCCGGAGGTGGGAGTTAAAGACCCGACGGACAGGGTACTCCGCCAGACGTTCCCAGTTCACCCTCACTACACGTTTGGGTTTACCAGGTCTGTCCGGCAGCATCCCCCGCCATCTGATCCAACTCACCACCAGGTGGTGATCAGTTGACAGCTCTGCTCCTCTCTTCACTCGAGTGTCCAAGTCACACGGCCGCAGAAAGAAAGGCTGCACCTGCTCCTCTGAGACACACCGACACGGGCCGGGGACCAGGTCCGCTCTGGTGAGAACAATTGGAAATGTGAAAATCCAACAATAATTTCTGTTTTTATAGTTTTTGGTTGGTAAATGGTGTAATTTTGGTGATTTTTACAGAAAACATGCAGGTTTGAAACGCATTTTTTCTCAAAAGAAATCAGCAGTAAAATAAATACAACCCCCCCCCCCATAAATAATGAACAGTCCCTAAAAGTAAACGTTGTTTTCCTGTTCAAGTTAAAGATAAAAGATTAAATGTGTTTTTATGAAACAAGAAAAAAACAAAACAAAAACACTTTAATACAAATTACAAATTTATTTGACATAAATATAGGACACTTGTGTGTGCGTGTGCGTGTGCGTGTGTGTGTGTGTGTGTGTGTGTGTGTGCTCTCCACTTTGCCAAACTCTGAGTGCAGTGATGACCCCTCGCCTCACAGGTGCATGCCGGGAAGTAAAGTCTTACAGCGGTGGACAGCCTGCTCTCTCCGCGGCCTTGAACTACATTTCCCGACATGCCCCGAAGTTTTCTTCCTTCCCTCCTTCCTTCCTGCAGCCTCGGCCCTTCTGCCGTGAAAAAGGAAGATGAGAAGCAGCGGCGGTCCGCCGACACTGAGCCGACACTAAACCGAGTCTGACTTCCAGCGGAATGGCGGCAGAGCGGCTGCTGACGGACCGGAGCCCGAGCGCAGCTGCTGTTCCCCGGCCTTGAACCCGTCACGACCGCCGCTGGAGCCGCTGGAGTCCCGGAGCTGCGGAGCCTGGAGGAGCGGCGGGTGGAGCTGCAGCCTGCCGGGCCGGGCCGGGCCGTGCTGAGCCGTGCTGAGCCGTCGTCTCCCGCCCTGCTAACGATGTTCAGCTAGCTGCAGGACTGAAGCCTCGACTGCACCGCACCCTGAAACCAGAGCCGACCTCCCCCTGTCCCCCCCTCAGGTGAGTCAGGCTGCACACCTGTAGGTTTACCTGCTCCTCCGAGACACGCCGGCACGGGCCGAGGACCGGGGTCCGGGGTCCGGGTCCGCTCCGGGTCCTGCTGGGTCTGGTCCTGATGTGGGTCTGGTTCAGGTTCTGTGATGTTGGAACCTGAAGCCTCCATGTGGGTCTGATGTGATCCAGGTCACAGTGTTTTCATGTGTCACGTGACTGACAGGTGTGTTTGTAGACCCTCCTGACACACCTGTCAGTCATCAGTCCGTGACGTCCCAGACTGACAGGTCACAGGCTCACCTTTAGGACAGGTGTAGAACCACACACACACACACACCTGTGTGTATCAGATGCTGTAAACAGAAGTAAATGTTGTATTAAAGGTCGTCAGGATTCACCTGCTGCACAAACACTCAAAGTTTTAATAAACAGGAAACAGAATCTCCAGCTGCTCAGTGTCACAGGAAGTAACCGAGTACCTCAGTGTTTCTATTTGACCTTAAACTCCTGCCGCAGCACATCTCAGAGAGAAACTGAACCTTTACTGCACCTGTGCCGTCACCACGCTGTCAATCATTCAGAATTTCAGTATCTTAAGAAATATCGATATTCAACACTGAGGTCATAAAATTCAGATTTTCTATAAAGTGATGAATTTAACAGTGTGTGAACACGACAGCTGAGCTGGAAAGTTACAGATTACTAGTTACCCAGTGTCAGAATGTCAGAAGAAGACATTCCTGCGAGAACCTGACTGATAATATAAAATCGGCTGATATTGGCCCTTCACAGATAAATCAGTATTATATATAGAAATGAATGATTTTATTTTATTTTAGTGTCATGCCACCTAGCGGCCCATCCCCCACGGGATTATATGACACCTTTGCCAAACAAAATAACAATATACATTTCATATTCCATTACATAAGTAAAATTTCCAGTCGTGCTGGTCGAGCATTTGATAACAACAGCAACAGAAAACCAATTTACAGAAGTACAAAAGTAAAGTTAAACATCTGCTGATACAGTGCTCCCTTTCTCATGTCCCAAGCTTTCTCCAAATACTTTGCCAGTCCAAATATTTCTTTTTCAAACAGCCAAGTCAGTCGTTGTGAATCATCCGAATTTTATCCAATCTACCTTAATCTTTGTAGTACTAAACAACTCTTTGCGGATCTTCCAATAAAAAGGACAGTGCAAGACAAAGTGAACTGAAAGTGTACTTCTTTAAGGTCACACACTGGGCAGATTCCACTGTCTTCTTCCAACCCTACATACCTCCCGGTTTCAATATGAAGTGGCAATATGCCTGCTCTAATCTGTGCACAGAGTGATCTTTGTTTCTTTGACAGGTTATACAGAACATAGTTTTCAGTAAAATACTCATATTTTATTTCACGGTAGGTACGTAGCTTTGGTTTACTCCAAATCTCACCTGCCCACTGTTGCTGAACCTCATAAAGCAGCCTTTCCTTTAAAGTTACGATGTCAGTTTTTTTTCATTTATATCCATATTTACAAAACAAATCACACATGTCCATTATCCAAAATCCATTCCATTGTATATCCCATTTGAATATTTTTTTTTTGCTAATCTATTATCATCCATATTGAGTAACCTATTCCATAATCTGGCAACCCAAACCTTCCAACGGACTTCACTGGGTTCCCAGCCCGTATCCCCTGTGACCGCCAGCATTGGAACGTATCTATGCACACCCAAAAAATATTGAATGGCCCAAATATGTTACACTCTTAGGATAACTATCATGACCCCAGATCCCAGCCCGTAGTCCAGGACTGGACAGACACAAGCCTGAAAAAGTTTGGTATATGTAAGGAAACCAATATCTTTGAGCATCTTAATTCTACCAATAACTCTGCCGAGTGCTCTACCTGCCGAATCAGAGAGGACAGTTGTGCCTTGAACAAAATTCATGTACTCATCTACATAAAGACCCAAGTATTTATAAGAGCGAACAAAAATAATTTTTTGTCACCAAAATAAAACTGAAATGTATAACTTCAGTTTTTCTTTCATTTATGGACAGCCTCCATTTCTTGCACCATTCATTTGTGTAAGACAACATTTTTTGCATATTGAGTTCATTTTCAGCCATTATAATAATATCATCAGCATACAAAAGAATGCTAACCATTTCTTCCCCACACTGTACACCACAGTTCATTGACTTAATTGCACATGCCAGATCATTAATGTTAACTGCAAATAAAGTAGGAGACAAATTGTCTCCTTGTTTCACCCCCAAAGGTGTCGGAAACCACTCTGTGTAAGACTCATTTATTTTTACACAAGCTATGGGATTGCTATATAATGACTGTATAGATTTATAGAACTTCCCATTTACTCCATATTTAAATAACCTGTACAACAAAAGATCTCTATTCACAAAATCAAAAGCTTTTCTAAAATCAACAAAATACACAAATGTGGGTTTCTTCTCTTTTAACCTTACCCTTACTGTCGAGCTCAAAGTATAGAGATGATCCAAACAAGCCCTGTCTTTACGGAATCCATTTTGTTCATCGACAAGGAGTTGTCTCTTCTCAAGGTATGACATAAGTCTAATATTAAGTATGGAGGAGTATAATTTGTAAACAGTGCTTAACAAACTGGGTCATCGCTTTGAGATTTAGGAACCAGAGTTATGATACATCTAAGCCACATAGAGGGTATTTCACCTGTTTCAAAACATTTTTTTGTGTATATATATATATATATATATATATACATATATATATTTCATTGTCAGATATGCACCAATATGAATTTTTAACAGAATGTGATGTTGAAAAAAATTCTCAGCATCTTGATCACAGAGAAATGTGTGTTTGTGTATAGAAATATAGTGTGTGTGTGTGTGTGTGTGTGTGTGTGTGTAATATCGGCCAGTATATCGACATCGACCTCAAAATTCCTGCACAGTAAAAAGATGCAACACAACGAATGGTTTATTCATTCATTTATTCAAGGACATATTCAGATGAAGCCACTGGAGTGGAGCCAAGTACTCGGAGGAAACGAGTATCCGATCCAGATATTCTAGTTTTTACGAGTACAAGTATCATAAGAGTAAAGTCCAGTTCAGACCAAACATCAGCAACGAGACGAAACCGTTAGATAAAAATGTCAGTGGTGTGAACTGGCCTGTCTGAGCTCGACTCAAGCCGGCGGCTGGTTTTAAAGCACATCACCTGTTTCAACAGCCAATCAGCTTGTAGTGAGGTCAGCTGGTCAAGTCAAAATGACCGCAGACGGCGTGTTGGCTTGCTGCAGCAGGTGCTCCGTCCCCACAGAGCCCTCTGTTTCTGTCCTCACAGTGTGCCGGTGTCAGACGGTGGGTCGCTGCTGCTGCTGGCTGTATGTGCTTATGCCCCGCCCACACACACATTCTCATTGACTGATGAATTGGCGCTGGTTATTTATATTATTGTGGCGTATTGATTATGAATACAGTCCATCTGATGCTGGTTTTGTTTCATCACTGTAGCCAGTATCTCACTATCACTATCCTCATTCAGATTTTAAGAAGCTACAAATTATATTCAGCCACAAAATAAGTCTGAAAAGCTGCAAATCAGAACGAAG